CATATCGGCATTGTTTAAAGAATAGCTTTTTACAATACTGTACCATGGCACTATGGGACCATTTTCATTTTTAGTCAGTTTTTAAACTTTCGCTTTGTACAAAGTATTTGTTGGTGTTCGATTTGTAATAAAATATTTGTCATATTTCTCGGAGTAGGACTTGTGTTGTTAACAATTGTTAAGGGAGTATTATACATGCAATTCGTTTTTAAAACATCAGGTTTTTTGTTACAGTATTATATTTTGCAAAAAACGACAGAAAAATGATTCCGGAATACATAATATCGATGGCTTAGTGGAAGATCGGCCTATCTCGGCAGCCAATTCAAGAACGCCCCATCTCAGAATTCGGTTGAAGAACACCCTACCCGGGCTGCCGATTCGAAAACGCCCTATCTCAGCTTATTTTCAATGAATTTTCATTTGATATTGGGCGTTTATGAACCGAATTCTGAGATACGGTGTTTTTCAATAAAATTCTGAAGTAGGGCGTTCTTGGAAAGTTGTCTGATATAGGGCGTTTTCGAACTGGCTACCGCGATAGGTCGATCTTCCACTCAGCCATTGATATACTTGATACGTATCACAGAGCGGTGGATAGCTCTGATCCATTATCATCAAGTTTATTTTTGTATGAACGCAGACATAAAAACTGCATTTAGCGCGTGAAGTGATTGGGCTTTTCAAAATCCCCGAAGCGGTGGTGCCTTCTACTTCTCAACTAGCTGTTAGAAGCGGGTGCCAAAAATAACTGTTATCTCGAATTTTCAAATTGAAAACGTTTCCCGAATTTTGAAATTTAACGAAAACGTTGTTTCATAACAGTTATTAGATGAAAAATATTTTTTTATTTCGCCGATAAGTTATAATCCAAGGTTTATTTTTTACTAATCTCGTTAAGATCCGATCAGTGGATCATGAGATATATATATATTTTTATATTAGAATTGAAGGCGGTTTTTTTTTGCTAAAAATTACTTGTTGCATACTTCTTTCATTAGTAAATCACGTCAAGATTTACATTTTTAAATTTAACGAACTTGTTGGTTTAAATTATTGTTGACAAAAATGCAACCGTGTGCCATAATCCTTGCCTGCAAAAATTTTCCCATCATGAATTTGCAACTTCCCCTCCAAATGAAATGTCAAAATTGTGCTCTCTCTTTGCAAGTTTTACAACTTTTTGTCCAAATGAACGGGATTCGGTAACAATTGGTACCAGCTTGTACAAGTTTTTTTTACATGAGCGAACAAAACTATTATGTCTTTCCAGACTGACTTTTGGAGTATTTTTTTATTTTAAGATTTACTAAAAATATAAAAATAAATTAAATAGAATTTGAGAAAACTTTATTTGCGGTATTCGGGGCAAAGCTTTGTGACAGACTCCAGGTCTGGCTTTTATATGGATACACCAAAGAAAAAGGGGTGTGGTTTGACCGTTAGTTTGCAAAAATATTCAAGCTTAGATAAAACAAATTTAATTTTTTTAAGCCTCTTTATAGGAGAACCTCTGGCAAGGGGGTCCATATTTTTCTGAACCACTTCTGTTGTCCGAGGTACTCTGCATGCGAAATTTGGTAAGACTAACTCAACTGTAAATAATTTTTTAGTTTCTGGCCCATAGTACATGGGTAGAAGATATACATACATATTGCCAAAAAACGTTCGCAACATTTTTAAAAATTTTTAAAGGCTTAAGCTGCCTTTACACGGTTCGATTTTTGTCGTTCAGCCAAAATCGACCCGTGTAAATGGCAATTTAACCGTAAAATGTAAATGCTTTGGCTAGTCGATTTTCCAGTCAACAGAAATCGACCCGTGTAAAGGCAGCTTTAGGCCTCGATATGTACATAGGTTTATATGCATGTGTGCTTTAAAGATCTCTATTGGGTGAGTTAGATTCCAAGAGGCTTTAGCTGTCAGGTTCGTCAATGGGGAACCACAAGAAAATAAACGAAATATACTGGTTAATTTTTTTACATATTTTTTATCTAATCATTTTTACGCTAATAACAAACGCCTCGGTTTTTAAGCAAACTTTTCGATTATTTCCTCCTGAATCATCTTGCGGTTCTCGGTAACGACTTTTCTATGGACGCCCATGTGGCATAGTCTAGAAAGCCTTTCTTCTCCTGTTGTGCTTCTGAGCCAGGTTTTTACTGTTCGAAGTGTACTAAACGATCGCTCCACAGTCGCTGTTGTGCATGGTATCGCTGTTATAAATTCTTCTTTTCTTCTTTAAATAGATTTACAATTTCCAACATCCTACAATTCTTCGGACAAGTTCTTTTTATTCCATAAATTGTACCAAAGAATGAGTTCGTTTCCCATATCTAGGTCATAGATCTGTTAAAAATGCTTCGCGTTCTTTTGTACCTTTTTACTGGAATATTTAATAGAATACAGAGGGTGCAATCTAGACAGTGAAAAAGCTGGAGTATTTTCATTGGAAAAGTGTAGTTGTAAAGAAGCCTTTAGTGAGTCCATATACGGTTTTATTACTCATTTTCATTGACCGACGGGGTTTTTTTCTGTTTTTTGTTTACCTGCCAAATGTGGTAAAGAAATTTATACTTGTAATCATACGAGATTTTTTAATTAACTCCGTATTGACACCTTCTGCAGTCTTTCGATCATTCGTAACCACCTCCAAAATATTTTGAATATGCTGATCAACGGAGATAAGGTCGGTTGTCTTCAATTGCAAAATGTGTGTTGTAGGTTCCAGCAACGTTGAATATTTAGCAATTGCCATTAAAGCAATGATGAACATCGGCCTTGTTATAGCAGCACACAATTGATACGCAGACATTCTTGTGGAAAAGTTTCCCTGAATTTACCACTTTTTAAAGCTTCCACAACTTCAGGAAAATTTTGTGAAAACTTCCTTATATTCTTCCGACCATCTTGTTTCACACAAACATGATATAATATTAGGAGCATTATTCTTGCGTGCGTATTTCTTATTTCTGGAAGTGTTCTTCTCGATGGGTTTTTCCATCCTGTTCATCACAGAACGGTAAGGGAAACTCAAACGCGTGCTTCATTCAATTCTATAACAATTCAATGCTTAACGCTGTGATTACTTCATTGTATCAGCAAAGAAAAACGCAGGCCTAATGTGGAAATTGAGAACATTTTCGATTAAGAGAACGAATTCGATTAAGCATACAATTTTGTACTTTTTATTTCTTGATTTTTGAAAATTTCTCCTTCGTTATGTAGCTGTAGGGGGGCATTGCCGATAATTCTGTTTACACAGACTCATGGCGCAAATTTGAGTCTGCGAATAATTTGTTTTCTCAAGTTCAATCGCATCTTTCTGCAAATAAAGGTTGCATCAAAGAATGTTTATTCTTCAGCCGTATGCGAGCATATTTATGTATTTA